GAAGTGTCGGGTGGTCTGAACCCTAAACTCGCCTTAACCTTAGGAGTTGCTTCCCCGGGGTCTTCGTTAAAGGGCTTCGGATTTAGAGATGTCTAAGGTTTAGGGATGTTTGGGGTATAGCTTGACGGGATGCTTACACTTATAAGATCTAGGGATGTTTATGGTCCAAACCCTAAATCCTACAGCACAGTACCCTAAACCCTAAACCCTAAAACCCTAAAACCCTAAACCCTAAACCCTAAACCCTAAAACCCTAAAACCCTAAACCTTTTCGCTTCTTTTCGCTAGATGGAGCCCCAGTGTTCAGGGTTCCTTCGGCTTCACTGCTCTTAGGAATTCGACTTTTTCCTTATAACTATGGGGATTAATTAGTACGTGTATCCTTTTTTCTCTTATAATATGACTGAAGGGGGTTAACAAGAATATTAACATGGGGACTAGTAATTGTATCTTTTGTTGTATCCTTTTACTTATAATATAGCTTAAGGGGGTCTTTTAAGGGCGGCTAAGTCAGAGGCGCCGGAGCAAAAGCTACCAGAACATTTTCATCCTGGAGGCTCGGAGCCCAAGAGGCTGCAACTAGGACCCAGAGTAGGCCCTTGTTCCCTTTTTTAGGGTTCGGGTTACCTTACAAGCCCCTCTAATCCAAAAAGGGCGCCCGTTTTATTCCTAGGTTGCTCCTGGGTCTAGGCAATACTGCTGAGTTTCAACTTTTATTTCCTTGGGCTTTGGGCCAGTGAGTTAAAGGGGGTTCATAAGGGTACTATAAGGGATCTATAGGGTGTAGGGTTTAGGGTTATGATATAGAAATCCTGCATGACCTTAAGGACCTTAAACTATGGGAACTATGGTATATTTCTTATATCGCGTAATGCAGGATTTTGTCCATCAGCAGTATCTCTTAAATAATAAGGGACCTACACCTTAAGTAGGGAAGATTCCTTAAGTAAGGAATATACTTGAAAAATGGAAAATACAGCTGAATTCTGGAATATTCCGTAAATAAGGAATATACTTGAGAATTACGGAATATTCCTTATGTAGCGAATGTGCCTCAAGTTATATTGGAGATCCTACTAGCTATGGTTAAAGGTATATTCCTTACCTAATGGGTCTGGAGTCTCTGGGAGTGCGGTGGTCGCTTTGTGTGATCGTAACGGTTCAGGGCTTTGAGGGTTTAGTTGAGGGGTTGTTTAAGTATAAGAAGGGTCTTGGCAGTCTTGGCTTTACTTATTAATACCTCCAAAAGTAAACTGGTAAAGTACTTGCACAACACCTATAATTAAACAATCGATATGTCTACATACAAGTTTTGGGTCCAGTTCGGGTGTAGTGTTATAAGGATTTTGCGTGGTAGATTGTGTCGAACCTCAGTCATAAAATTTTGCCAGGCTGTTTGGCCATGTTGCGCAGGGGGGGGGGCTGATTTCTACTGGTCAAGGTTGCTAGGGTCGTCGAAAAGTTGACATGTTTTTTCTTCTCAGGGTTAGATCTGCAATTGAGAGTGATGGGGCTTTAGAGGTTTGGGGTTTTCCTTTGCTAGAGGTTCCACGACGATGACTAGCCAGGTCGGTTAAGGTACCTTCCTTAGTTAAAAAACAGAACAAGGCGAACCCCACACGTTGAAACTCTAGACTAAAGCTCATTCTGCCATCACTAGAAAACCCAGACTCAAAAAACACAACTGGCAGGCGACCTTATCCCAAAGAGTAGGAGCCCTGAACCCTGAATCCTGCCAGGATCCCCCCACTACCCTTTCAGGAGCTTTCTCATTGCTCACTAACAGGTCGGGGGCTACAATTGCGAGTGGTTGGGTGGTCTGAGGTTGGAGGTTTACCCTGAACCCTAAACCCTAGAGCCCTAGACGCTAGTTGAATACTGCCCCCACTCAGCATCAGTTGAATAATATTGGGTGTATAGATATACGGCCCTGAAAATTACCCTTGTTACAGTCTCTTAATGTATGGGGGGGGGGCAGTACCCCACATATAAACCCTACTGCCACTTCTAAACCCTAAGCCCCAAACCCCAACACCCCTCAACCCTTGAGCCTTTAAACTCCTTAGCCTTTAAACCCCTCAGCCCTAAACGCTAGACCCCAAACCCCTAAACCTATAGACCCTACAAGGCCCTAGAGACTCCAATATCCCGTAAGTGAGGAACTAGGACCTAGAGTAGGCCCTTATTCCCTTTTTTAGGGTTCAGGTTCCCTTATAAGCCCCTTTAAACCAAAAAGGGCATCCTTTTTATGCCTGGCTTACTCTTGGGTCTAGGGAATATAGCCCAAATGAAAGAAGGATGCTTTACATGAAAAAAAAGGTTTCTTCCTTAAGAAAGTGATATCGGAGTCCCTGAAACTCTAGGCCGTATAGATCCCTTGAAGGAACCCTTATAGATCCCTGTGAGGGCATAGTGGAGTCTCTGGGCCCTTATAGACCCTAGTTCTAAACCCTAAAACCCTACATAAACCCTGAAATTATCAACCCTGCTTCTACGACCCTCCTGTAGCCGATAAGACCTACCTTTCTAAGGTACGGTATATAGAAACCATAATAAGGAACCCTAAAAGAGTAGGTCTTTACGGCTACAGGCTATGGGGCCCCAAACCCTAAACCCCAAACCCTAAACCCTTAAACCCCTGAACCCTAAACCCTAACCGTGAATAATGCCCAGGCTTCCTTGCGAAAGGAGACCTTCGCCTTCTTCACCTCACTGCCAGCCGAGGCCATGTGCGGGCCGATGACTGGCTGAGTACCCTAAGGTTTAGTGGTTTAGGGCTTGGGGTTTAGGGATTAGGGTTTAGGGGGTTAGGTGTAGGTCCCTTATTATTTAACCCTAAGGGTCCAAGTACCCAAATAGTAGGGTGTCAAGGTCCAAAAACCATTCAGAGTATGGATTTTGGGACCTAAAACCCTACTAGCTGGGTACTTGGAACCTCTGGGTAAGGGTCCCAACAAACTAAGGACTCTCCCTAGGGGATTCCAGACCCTCCTAAGGAGATACCTGGACCGTTATGGCTAATAAAGGCCCAAGGTTTCTTAATCAGGTTCCTACATTACCCTGAACGCTAAACCTTACCCCAAGGGTCCTAACAAATTGGGGAACCTCAAAATTGAGGGTTTCTTAAACCGCAAACACAGGGACTTTCCGTGGGACATTGGGGACCCTCCTAAGGAGATACCTGGACCCGTAGGGTAGAAGCCAAGAGTTATACACCCAATAGCCTCAATCCTTAAGAGCAATGTTTTGGGGAATCTCAGCACTGTTTGACCTTAGTCTGGTTTCCAACTTTATGGGGCTTGCTGTAGACTTTCGGGCTCTTGAGTTTAGGGTTTCAGGGTTTAGGGTTTAGCGTTCAGTTTAGAGGTTTAGGATTTACAGATATTCTCTCCCGAATGCTGGCCTGACAAGCCCAAGCGCCCAACTACTGAACTACTGGGTCCTCTGGACCCTTTAGGGTTAGAATGTATGATGGGTATGCTATAGATACTGTGTATATAGTGGGTTCCCTTGAGGATGTTTTGGAAGAGTTCCTACCGAGCTTTGAGGTTCATCAAGAGTTCGGTTCCCGGGGCCGAACCAGTTGGGCTTCGGGGTTCGAGTGAGAGTTCTCTCAGGGTTTAGGGGTTCAGGGTGTAGGGCCAGTGTAGGGGACCCTACTACGGTAATCTGAATAGCAGGATCCTTATTATTAACCCTACATTGTTGGGGTTTTGGGTCAGGGTGCAAATAAGGGAGTTCAAGGGACCGAAGGACTTAATCATCCAGTACTTGGGCTTAGGGTAGCAGTGGTGTTTGGGGCAGTTTCTGACTGCACTTAGGGTTCTAGTCGGTTTGAACCAGGTCCCCCCAGTAGCACCCTCATATATACCATGTTTTTCGTTGGTGGGTTCCTTATGGAACTCAATAGCAAGAAGCAACGTACCTTGCATTTTGCTTCGGGTTCACCATATCTTAAGGTTCTAAGGGCTATTATGATCAAAACCTCTATCCGATCAGTCTTTGAGTTCCTTTTGAGCCCGCGGGTTGCGCTGCACTAGAAGCCAGAAAGTTGCAAGATGGGTGTGCGCAAATCTGAACAAAAGAAAAGGGCCGTGGGACAAGTCGCATGTAAGACCTCCGTTTCCCGGGGGCGTCCGGATCCCGACACCCCATAACCCTACCCTAAGGGTCCTAACAAATTGGGGAACCTCAAAATTGAGGGTTTCTGAGACCCCAAACAAACCAAGGACTCTCCCCAGGACGTTCCGGACCCTCCTAGTGAGATACCTGGACCCTTAGGGTAAACCCCGCAACCTTAAGCTCGAAAAGCGTAAACCCCAAAGTCCGAAGATCATGAACTCTTACCAGCCGTATTCCCTGCTATGAAAACTCAGGCAACCCTGGCCTGCAAGCTACCCGTAAAGCCCAACACCCACAAATCCTACAACCCCACAATCCCTGAAAACACTAGACTGCTAGAAACCCCTATTGAACCTATAAGCACTTCTGGGTCCCTAAAACCTAAACCCTAAGCCCTGAACCCTAAACCCTAAGCCTAAAAACCCTAAACCCTCAACCCTAAGCCCTATAGACCCTAAACCCCCAAACCCTAAACCCTATACCCTAAGCCAGGTCCGCAGCTACCTCGAGAGGATCCACGACAAAGCCTCCGCGCTGCCACTGCCCCCTCAGGGACCCTTCGCTCAGCAGGCCATGGCCTTCTCTGCATGATCAAAGGGGAAAAGGAGGGACCCTTAATGGGGACCCCTACCCTATAATGGGCTTTATAATGGGTAGAAACTAGCTATATGAAGGGTATATACCTAGGGGTCCTACTTAAGGGGCCCTCCTTTTCCCCTTTGATTTGGAGATGATAGATATCTTGAGTTTTCCTTTTGATCAGGGTGTTCCTAGCCGACATACCCATGATGCCCAAGATACCCTCTACACGGCCCGCTATACCCATTTTCCCCAATAGCTGTTGTGGCTTGAGGCAAGTAACACTTTCGAGATCTGCCATGGGCGCCCCCCAGTCTAAGGGCTCTGCAACACTGGGACCCTTCGATGCGGCTCGGATCTTTACATTTCCCGATGGGCTGTGGTTGGTGAGCGCGGACCACTTCGCAGATGATGCCCTGGTGGATTTTCAGTTTCTTGGCGTTCTTCTGGTTGGCTCTTTAGACTTTAACTTTTTGGGTTTCTATATGAACCATAATAAGGAGGCTAAAAGTTTAACTTTTTGGAGGGGTTCAGAAGTCAGCCAAGGTTTCTGACCCAAGATCAGCAGCAAGAGGCCCAAGAAAGCCTTGAAAATGAACTGGCAGCTGATGCAGACCGTGCTGTAGGGTGCCTTCTGGGTTTGGCTATAGGCGATGCCCTTGGTGCTCCTTTGGAGTTCCATCCGGTCCGCTACAAGGGTGATCCGGACTATTTCAAGTATTCACCCCCAGCAGGCATGGAGACTCCAGTATTGGGTTTAGGGCTTCAGGGTTTATAGGGTGCCCAACTGACCCCCTCGACATGTCTTCAATTCACGATACAACCCAATTGCAAGTATGCCCTCATATACCCCCAATCCGCCCCTGCACACCCCCCAAAACAGCCCCGACATACCCAAATAAACTCCAGCATACCCTAACCCACCTCAATGTACCCCTACAAACAGTCTAGGACCCAGAGTAAGCCCTTATTCCTTTTTTTAGGGTTGTGGTACCCTTATAACACCCTTTATCCCCAAAAGGGCACCCTTGTTTTTCCTAGGTTGCTCTTGGGTCTAGACTCAGCCCCTGCAGGCTTTGACGAGGCACTCTGGCAGGACAAGTCGGAGATGCGGGAGACCAATCGCTTTTTGTTGCAAATGGGCCAGTGGACTGATGATACAGCTACTGGGTTCTTGTTAAAGGATTTAAACTAAGTTACCAGAATATAATCGAAATTTGTAATAAATAATATGATTTCCTTATTATGGTAACGTAACTTAAATTACTTATTAACAAGAACCCAGGCTATGGCCTTGTGTTTGGCAGACTCACTGTTAGCACACAATGGCTTGCATCCCAGAGATCTTCGGCTGAGATTCCTAGCGTGGTGGAGACTGGGGTACAACAACGCTTTTCGATTGGATGCAGACCGAGCACGTCTTTGGGGCAGCCGTGCCTCTATTGGATGCGGCGGCATCGTGGGTGAATCACTGCAAGAGTTCAGGACGGGCCCCGGCGCAGCAGACTACACAAAGACGGGCACCGTCCACTCTAATGGCAACGGCTCGTTGATGCGTAATGCCCCTGTTCCAATCTTGTACCATCGTGACTTACATGTAGCCATGGAAGCTGCGTGGCGGCAATCGAAGACTACACATCAGGGTGACGAAGCCGCTGATTGTGCGCGTCTTCTGACTTGGATATGCGTCAATGCCATGGTGTCTGGTTCTGGCAAGGCAGTATTGCAGAATCTTGACAACTTCCCAGCGCGTTTCTACTCAACCAAATGTCTAGCGCAGTCACAGCAAGAAGACCGCTGCGCGGACAACACTGAGGCGGACCTCGCTGACAGGGACTGGCGATGGCGAAGCCACGGCTACAGATACTCACCCAAGCGTGCTCATGCTGATCCAGGATATGCAGGCAGCTGAAAGACCAAATGAACCTCAAAGGTAGGGGCCACATACGCTATATACTATGAAACGCTACAATGTATGGTAATTGAACTGTAAACCCTTGTAATTTAGATTTCCTCCTTAAGGCAGCTATGCGATGGACTGCCTGGCCATGGCTTTGCATTGCGTGCATGTGACCGACAGCTTCGAGACTGCGCTGCTCCATGCTGCGAATTTGTGCGGTGATGCAGATACCGTAGCTGCTGTGACAGGGCAAATTGCAGGTGCAATTTATGGTGCCTCAGCAGTACCAAGAAGCTGGCGCCAGCACCTAGAGCGTTGGGATGATGGACACATTTCACGGCTTGCTTGGCTTTTGTTCACAGCTTCACAGCCCGCAGACCCAGCCGCCAGGGAGCAACAAAGCAGGCGGACCCCTCTGCTTGCAGAGTCACATGAGGTCCAAGAGGCTGAGCCGCCAGTATGTGCCAACGTCTAGCAGGGACGGACGCTGACTGTTGGGACTGTGCTTATATTGTAATGTATTTTAGAATACTGGGAGCATTGCGCTTTTTTTGGTGGTGGCAAAACCGTCCTGAGCTGAAGCAAACTCAGAGCACTGCTTGCTGCAATGGTGTTAGTAATTGCCGAGATTTACCGGCGTGTTTTATTTGTCAGCGGCGCGCTTCCACAGATGTGCAGTCAATGTTGGAAGTGTGTGACGCTTTCTTTGTAAAGGTCTCAGTGCAGATTCCCTCTTGCGAGATGGATGACGGGGCCAGTCAAATACCTTCATGTCGTATTGTTTCTAGCAGCATAGCGCAAGGTCGGAGATGATGGCAAGTGTTTACACTTTCATGGTTTCGTACTTCTTTCTAGGGTGCAATCTGACTCATGGCTTGCAACTTTCTACGTTGGTGAATGTAGCCTTTTCAAACAAATGCTTACCTTTGGTGAGTATGGAATGAGGAATGGGGTAAAATTATAACTACTAATACTACCGTTCTTTCATTCCCTAGGTAAGATTACGGTCTTACGTGCCGCTGCAAGAGCTGCCTGTTGCTCCACTTCCGAAGGCGGACTGAGGTCGCACAGTTCCTCAGTTTGTCTGATGACCTGATGTACAGTTCATGCGGCAAGATGGGGACAAATGACCCTTAACAGCAAGGGCCTCATACCCTTGATTCCTATATGGTATATGAACCTTAAACCCTTTTATGGTACATTTCGTGCCTAAGGAGATGGGGACACATGAGCATTGCGAGCTCGTTTCTGTCAGAACTCTCAACTCTTTTGCTTGCGCTCGGCCGGGAGGGTTGAATATACTAGAATAAGACCGGGGCATACTTGGAGGGTCGGGGGACTTACTAGGTAGTTATCTTAGAGAGTTATAAGTACCACAACCCCAATTAGGATCCCTATTCGGGTACTTATAACTCTACTTATTACCTCCTTACTACGTCCCCCGACCCTCCAAGTGTTGTACTATAGCCCAAAAAATAGCATAGGTACGTATCCAGGTGCTTGATCGGGTTTAAATTTCAGCGCTACGAACTGCGCAAAACTAAGGTTGCTGCATCTAGCAACTCAAGAGGGCAAAGAGGTTTTCGTAGTCAGTCTGCCTGCCCATTGAGCAAGCAGGGCCTTGAATGCCTGTGTATCCACTCCCTAAGGCTCCATGTGCCCATATAGTGTATACTTAGGCCTTAAAGTAGCCATATAGGGACCCCTTTAAGGCTCAAGTATCTACTATGCAGGTGCATGGAGCCTTTGGGACTACAGGCTCAAGTATCCCCTTGACCACCTTTTTAGAAACAGCCACGGGGGCAGGGCTCGGTGTCACTCCTTCACACTAAACTTTGGAGCACGCCCGATAACAGCACATAAAGGCTTGGACAAAGCTTTCCGAGTCACCGCGTTAAGCTTTTCCCAACAACAGCACGTGGAACTTACGGTTTACTTTTTTCGTGTACCCTTCTGTAATTCATGTTTCCGCTTGCCATACGCCGGTTTTGGTACTACTTGGAGGGTCGGGGGACTTGGTAAGTAGGTTATAAGTAGACTTATAAGTACCCTGAAAGGGATCCTAATTGGGGTTATGGTACTTATAACTCTCTAAAATAACTGCTTAGTAAGTCCCCCCGATCCTCCAAGTACGCATTCTTCCTGCTCTTTGCCCTGCTGCATGCCTGCCTTTTTTTGTATCTGTGCTGTGATCGGCTATGCCAAGTCATTGCCTAAACCCTGCCTTAACCCCGAAAGTCTACCTTTTTCAGGATTTATCCGAAGGATATCATGATCTGGAGCCCTAAAATGCTAGGCTATTCAGGGTTTAGGTAAACTCTATACCCTATAAGCCCTGAACCTGAGCCTCTCATCTAGTCGGGTACCTCTGACCCCTGTCCCCTCATACAGGTCACAACCCCCTCCCCCTCCCTCACATCATGGCTTTTAAGGTCCTAAACTTATAAGGCTTTACTATAGTCGTGACTTTACAATAGATCTCTACAGTCCTTGCATATTTATGGGTGCTTGTCAAAATTAGGGTCCCTTTTTGGGTCCTTATAATAATACGGCACCTCATATTTAGGGTACCCAAAGGGGGACCCTAATTTTGACAACTAATTTTGCGGCAAACGTGTAATTCGACGCCTTGTTCTCGTCCTTAAGGCCCCTACATCGAGCCCACAACTCCCTGCAAAACCTAACTGGGATCCTGAATGAAGCCCTCAATACAGCTTGAACCCTAAACCAGCAACCCTTAACCCCCGCTAAGCCCGTAAACCCTTAACCCCTCAACCCTAAACCCCTAAACCTTAAACCCTTAAACCCTAAACCTCTATTAAACTCTAAACATACCTAAACTCTAAAGCCTTAGACGGAGGTGGCTGCAGTCTTGGATCAGCTGGGCGTGCAGTGCGATGTTGCGGCCCGGGCCGGACCTTTCTCTCTCCACGTGGTGGCCAAGGCTTGCATTAAAGTAGGGTTTAGGGTTTGCGGTTTAGGGGTTTAGGGTTTACCTTGATTCGAATAAGGTTCCTGCATAGTGCCACGGTGTGGGGGAAATTTATGTTTTCTTTGGGTGGGTGGGTTTGAGGCGCCTTGAAAATTAGAGAAGGTTTTCTGGGTATGTTGGACTTCAACCATATAGTAGCAAAGGCACTATGAGGGAACAGTATTAGTGTAATTATTCTGACCCCATATGTTCGGGGTCTTGGGAATCAAAGAGCTTCGGGTGTAGGCTTTCAGGTGTGAGGTTTGGTTTATCGTGTTAAAGCGCTTCAGGTTTATGATTTAATTGCGGCTCCGGTTTTTAGGCTTTAGTGGCTTGGGGTGTAGGGCTTAATGGTCTGGGTTTAAGGGCTTGTGTACTTCAGTAACTAAGGCAATAGGGCAACTAAAAGCACAATCACTTATAGTCCTATAATTGATTAATAAGGTACTCTATTGCTGCGTCCATGATCCTCCAGGTATCATCAAGGAACCTCTTACAGAGGATCCCGTATCTCTCAAGGACCGGTCAGGTAGCTTCAACTTGCTCTGGACCCGAACCAATCAGTTTCGGGCCTCGAGCCACTTGGGAGTTTCCGAAAATACGGGGTACCTTATTTAGCGGTCCTTTTCATAAGGATCCTACTATTTAGGGTGCTTTCTTTGGGTCCCCTATTTTCGGAAACTCCCACTTTTGATTGTATGAAGCATCATGCAAGTGTACGTACATCCCTTGGGCCTTTCAGAATACGATAGCACCTGGGTCGGCTCTCAAGTCTACCACCCAGAGTCAACGCGCAAAGTGGCTCGCCTTGCCAGCCCTTTTCGAGAGACGGTGAAGAGGTGAAAGTCCTTCGATCTCTTGTCGCCCGTGGTGAGCAGACGCAAGGCCCAGAGTCCTTGGCCTCTGAGGCCCGAAGGCCCTGAAGCCCTCAGGCCTGAGGAAGCTGCATGACAAAGTTGCCGATTGCCGAGTGACAGCATGTACATGATAGTAATATATAGCAGTAGTATACAGGCCTTGGCTATTGATGAAGCACGGCATCGACTATACAGTGGCACGCCCACCCTGCGGCTTCTTGCTGGAGACTGTTCCAAGTTGGCGGCGGGAGAAGCGATTCCGTGCCGACTACCTCCATGTCGAAGAACCCACAGGGTCCAAAGTACCTATATGGTAGAATGTAGGGATTCTTGAACAGTAATTACTGTTATGATTTGGGGAAGTATTTTCCACAGTAGTACCTACCTGTATCCTCAAACCCTACAATACAGTAGGTTATGACCCCTGAATTAGAGGCTAGAGCCCTTCAAACGGTAGGTTTTCGGATCTCAAGGTAGGACCATTTGGGGAAGCTGGGAAACAGCTGCGACAAGCGGGTTATCGCTCCCTAGAACCTTCGCACTCGGAGCATGGTTTGCTCCAGAACCGAGACGGTGCATGTCTAGGGTTTAGGGTTCAGGGTTTAGGGTTTAGGGTTTACGGTTTAGGGGTTCAGGGTTTAGGGTTTAGGGTGCGGGTGTGTTGAAGTCGGTGAAGTCGGCAGGCCCATTCAGTTCCCCAAAAAGTTGTTCGAGTCGTCTTGGCATGGGCTACCTGCCATGATTTGTGTTTTCGGATTTGCTAGCATATATCCTATATTTACTTGTGGTAATCAAATAAATGCTGACAAAGCAGTAGCAAAGCTACATCCCCACCCCGCAAACCCCTAACCTCCAAACCTATAAACCCGAAAGCCCCAAACCCTAGGCCCCCCAAACACGTAAACTCAACCCTGAACCCTAAACCCCTGAACCTCTAAGCCCTAAACCCCAAAACCCGACTAAGTCCCCCCCAAGCACCCCAAAAAAGCCTGCAGACGGCGAATCCTCGGGCCGATGGTGAAGACATTGCTCCCCCGGCCAGGGTTGACATGTGAGGCATGTTCTACTTACGGTCCTTTTAAAAAGGGGTCCACAAGCGTCCAAAGTCCCCATATGGTAGAATGTAACGTTTCTATCGTAACAGTTACTATTATGATTTCGGGAAGTATCCCCCATATCAGTACCTAGGACCCTTGGGAGGGTGTATAAGTAAGGGGGAGAAGCTAGGTGAGGTTTTAGGGTTTATAGGGTTTACTTGAAGAGTTCGGGGAACTTAGTAACTAACAGGGTTCCTAAAGCTCCTTCACTTTATTACAAAACGCGTCAAAATATGGGCCTCTTAATTTAGAGGATCTATCATCGGGAGTTTAGGATTACTTGAAGGTTCATGCGACTGAGTAACTGGGGTTGTAAATTATAAATGATCATGAGGTGACTTATACTTGCAATCACCTGCACGCCTAATTGAATTACCTGGGTAATTAGCATGGTCCCTTTTTCATCCCTCTATAACCAAAAATGTTAACCTTTAGTTCCCCATGATACCCGACAAGCAGGGCATCTTGATCCCTTTAAAGGGGAACCCTAAGCCCTGAAAGGCCCCCTTCTAGGAGGTGACACTTAAAGGAAACCTAGCTTACAGATCCCCTTACAGTAGAAGCCAGAAAGTTGGAATATCATTATCGTAACCCCTTTAAGGTAATTTATAGGGGATCCTACCCTGAAACCATATTCCAACTTTCTGGAGTTCCCTTTAGAGGAACCCTTCAGGGAATCCTTAAGTAGGGCAATTGGACATACAGAATCGAGGCCCGAAAAGGCCCAAAGCCCGGAAAAGCCCTCAAGCCGAGAAGCCCTAAATCCTCAGGGAACTCCTAGGACTTCAAGGGTTCCTCAAAGGAGTTTCTTAAAGGGTTTGTTGAGATCCCCTTTAGTCTAACCATGACGAGGGTAGATGTGCCACGAATCCGTAAATGATTTTCGGCCTAAGCCTTGAAGGCAAAAGCAAGGGACTGAGTCCCATGACTGATCTTATGTCCGTAGGACAATGTACAGTAGATCAAGGCATTGCATGCATCTAAAGCATAGCAAGACTAGCAGAGCTAGGTTGCGCATTTGCTGTTCTGAGTGTGAAAAGCCCGGTCATAAGCCCATGTCGGAACCTACCTGCCACTGATCTTCGATCCTTGTGGCACTACTTCAAGAACTACATGGCCACCGGCAATGAATTCGACAACCCTAATGAAGTCACCATGAATGATGAACAACAGGTTATGAGTCGCCCAACCGCTACACCTTCGCGCACCTTGGTGAACGGAATCCCAACACCGGCCGCAGCTGCTGGAACTCTGGACTTGGACGGAGAGACAGTGGCCACGTCTGGGGTGCTGGGAGTAGGGATTGAATCCCAGCTCGGACCTGATAGGACACCTGAGCGGGATATGAATATTCGACCAGAGGCCGCCTCTGGGTCGCAAGGAAGTGGAGGATTGATGACCTCTACCTCGGCGAGAACATTTTTACTGGGCCCGGACACCATGCGTTCGGGTGATCCATCGGCTGAAGCGACAGCTCCATCGACGAACAGACGTCGTGGGCCACCCACTTTTCTCAGTGGTGTGGCTAAGGCTGTGCAGGCAATTCCGGCTGCAGTGGAAGAGTTGGTCATGAGACCGACTGCTGGTGTCAGGGGTCATCCTATGGCAGAGGGTGAAGGTTATGTTTCAGCCCAATCTGGAAGTCCAGAAGGGATGAGACGTGCTTCACCTGGGGAGCCCGTAGGCTCTACCCCGCTTCTGGATGAGAGGACTCTAAGGACACTGAGTGGACATCAAGCATCGGCACCACATCTTTATGCTCCGGAAGCGCCACCCTCAGGGGGAAAGGCGCCCTCGACGGCATCCAGTGATATACAGGCTGAGGTACGACGTCAGGTCCAGGAGTTTATGGTGTTGCGTGATCGGGAAATGGCTGCGAGAGCAGAAGAGAACTTGGCTCTGAGAAATAGGTTAGAGATGTTAGCATCTGAGAATCAGGTGCTTAGGCAGGAGATGACTGCTCACGCGTACAGTAGCGAGTCAGTCGCGAGGCCCGAAGGACATACCGGTTTCAACGGGTTCGGTTGGTTTAGCAGGGGGATAGGGAATCTTATGAGTGGAGCCTCCCTATCTAAGCCCTCCTCGCCGGCCGCTCGACTTATGGCCAATCGTCCTCCTCCTCCGCCGCCTCAACCTAAGGCTTTGGCCCAGCTGCTTGAGGCTCCGCAACCACCTGAACCGGCACCAGTTTGGACACCAGCTGATGACCCTCCACCGCAAGGAACAGGAGGAGCTTCGATCTACGTGGCACCGCCCACGCAGAGAGTGCTAGACTTTGATGGACTGGATCCTCCTAGGCCTCCGAATCAAGCTGAGATTCCCTGTGATCCAGAGCCCCAGGCCCCTGCAAGAGATCCAGAGCCTCCAGCGAGAGCACAAAGGTCACAAGATCCTCTGGATGTTGTGCTAACAGGTATGGCGCAGTTGCAGGGTATGGTAGCAGGTTTGGCCAGCAGTCCTAAAGCGGAATCTAAGTATGAAAACATAAAGCCTGGCGTGGCCGCCCTACCTGACCTTCCGAGCCCAGGTCCTGAAGCCTGTCTGCAGTTCTCGGATTGGTTGCACGCTAGTAAGCCCGCACTTTCTGATGTTTCTGATTCCAGCGAGGTTCTATGGGATTTAGTTCTCACAGAGGCCCAAGCGTGGTATAAGGGCTATCTTAAGATGGACGCCATAGCACGCCTGACCAGCAAGCCCTTCCCGTCGGAAGAGGTATCGCAACCTCGATGGTCCAGGGTTTCGAGGCGCATCGAAACTATGGTGTTGGCTGCAGCACCAGCCCCGGTCCGCGAGGAGCTGTCTGCAGCTCGTGTGACAGGGTTGCTTGCCCTGGTTTCCAGACTTTTCGTGATATATTCCCCAGGGGGATTAGGGGAGCGAGAAATAGGTCTGAGACATATCCAGGATCCTTCACCTGGTGTGGGCATCAAAGATACTGTGGATTTGCTGCGACGCTGGAAACGGTGGTGCGATAGGATGACTGAACTAGGTGGCACTTTACCCGATCCGGCTCTGAGAATAAAGGCACTAGACAAAGTGACTAAGGTAGTGCTCCAGGGCAATCCGGATGTTGCCTTTAGAGTAAACCTCACCCGCACGGCACTACAGATAGATTCTTCACCTGATGGGGATAAAGTTGTGCAACTGCACGCTCAGATGTTGGCCGAGCTGGAATCCCTGAGCCACCGCTCCGCTACCAAAGATGCAGACAAGGCCCGGGACGCCGTTTCAGGTCCGCCGGCTAAGGTAAAGGGCGTAGAAACGGGTGATGCATTGCCCCCTAGTCGCACTCCCAAACCTGGAAAGGGGATAGGTAAGTCACAGAATCCCCCTAAGGGTACGGGTCCTGATGCAGCATCGTCTAGCGGAACGCCGTGCTCGTTCTATACCAGTCAGAACGGTTGTAAGAAGGGCAATGATTGCTCGTTCGTGCACAACTGGGCCGGATTTTCCCAGGCTGAGAAGGCTGCAAGATGTAAGGTTTGTGGATCGAAGGCGCACAAGTCGAATGAGTGCAGAGCAGGGCTGAAGGGTGAAGAAAAGGCTAAGTATAAGTCCCCACCTGCTAACCCTAAGACAGCCCAACCGAAGGTTTCTGATAACCACGGAGTTGCACCAACTGCACCGACCCCTTTGAAGGAAGTGTCCCAGCAGCAGATCAAGAGTATGTTAGCAGATGCTGCCCAGATACTTCAGCAGGCCAACACGACACCCGTCGCTGCCACCGCAGTACCTCCGGTCCCAGTTCCCATGAGTGCGCCCTGCAGCCCTCCACAAGGGGCTTCCAGCCCTTCATCGCCTCAGCATCAAGGAGCAGGAGGAGTCACCCCTGGGACGCCCGTAACGCTAGCAGCACTCAGTGCACAGATCGACGCACTTCGATCAATGGCAAGGGATCATGAGATACGCATGATTACTGTTGATTCTGTGACCAGTCAAGCTTGTGAGCCCACTGAGGGTGTGAGAGCCTTGTTGGATAGCGGGGCTACGCATGCGGTAGTCCCGTACACAGGCCAACAAAAGGGCCTAGAAAGAGTGTCTGTGACGCTGGCAGGTGACTCTCGGGAAGAGTGGTTTAAGACGAGTGGTGGCACGCTTGTGGTGCCACCTCCATCCAGTGGCACCGAGCGTCAACCGCGCCAGCAGACCATCCTACCCTGAGGGGCCCTAGTCCAAACCCTAGGCTGCAAGGTGGCTTGGAGTCGCCGCAAGGGATTGCGTGTGGTCCACCCAGTGCTTGGACCGTTGAAGACAGGAGTGTCGCCCAACACGTGTCCTTATATCCAAGAAGAGCAGGCACTGAGACTCATCAATGAGCTCGAGTCAGAGAGACTGCGAGAATTTGAGTTGTCGGTCCAGGCCATGGAGGCAGACTTGAAGCAGCTTACAGAGCCTTGTGACCCTACGGAAGCCTTGGAAAGGTTCATAGGTTCGGGATCTAGGGGGGACCTGCTCCGAGCTGTGTTCTCTCAGCCATATCTTCAGGAAGTGCCAGAAGCCGTCAAGGTGCGTCTTTGTGAAGAGTTGCCGGGTGTAACGGAGCAAGACGGCTGGAAGTTGATCAAGCGCTTGCCCCTCAGCCGTTCTAAGAGGCGGGCTCTTCACGGCTCAAAACGTTGGCTTTTGCACCTCTCCTCTGGTGCGCCTCAACCACATGATCCCGTGAAGACTTGGTGTCAAGGCCAAGACATATACTACCTTCCTGTTGATGTATTGGAGCCAGGAGGAAGAGGTTGGGACCTAGCCACTCCTGGAGGTGTTTGGTCTGTGTTGCTATGGGCAGCATGCACCAACCGGATTGTAGGGGTTCTGTCCTCTCCGCCGCATAAGACTTGGACCTCCAGCGGCTAGAGGGACGGCCATACCGTTTCTCAAGGAACTCCCATCCCTGGGAACCCAGCAAAGGGACAAGCAGTGTCACAGCGTGGTTC